TAAGGTACAAGCACAACCCATTAACCTCTAGCCAATACTGGGACTTAAGAACCCCCCCCCCCCCCCCCCCGCATGCCCATGGGACAACTTGAGTGTGGATAACATAAGACGTGGACCCAATAACAACAGGGATCGATGGTTCTAGCTCTGATACCATGTGAAGAGTTGGACATTTGGCCTAATTCAATCCCAAAAGCTAGCTCATGAGGGGGAGGATTAGCCAAGACCATGTAAGGAAACCACACACATTCCCTCGTAGGACTTAACATAGCCTAAGTTACACTTTGCATTTTTCTTCGTAAACTAATTATATCGATAAAATTACCCTAAAAGACATTAAATGCCTTGGCTAGAATCTTCAAAGTGTCAACTTTATCATACACTTGGGAGAATTTGGGATGGTATCAATCTTACGCAACTAAGCAAGGATTAATATCAATTGTGCAAATTGTCCTGATAAGAAAGTTCCGATGTTGCTTATGCTTTCATCTGTATCAAACTGTTAAAAGGTAAACCTTTGCCCAAATTAAATCTCAGAAAAGTGTAATAAGTACAATAATCCCAAACTACTCATGACTCAGGTCAGGTGTAGACGGCACAAAAGATTTAAGCTTGAAAATAGCTAAATTTCGACTAGAATTGAACTAACCAGTGAAGCATTGTTCCTTGGGGCAGTGAGTCTAGCATAAATTTGTCTTGCTGGAGTTGTACTACGAAGTGGGCTGAGTGGAAGCACGAGGTGGGTACGGAAAAAGGCATTGTTTTTGAGAGAACGAGGGAGATAACAACTACTGGACCCTGCCCTGTGAGAGATGATAGTGGAACAGGATAAAGGGTGCGCCATTGGCAGAGAGTTGAGTTCCTGGTAGTTGTTAGATGAGGTTTTTGGCGCGCCTTGTCCTATGCCTATCCTTTATCTTTCTACTGATGATGTGGTATTTTTCCTTTATTTTAAATACTGCCAAAATAAAGCAAGAAAGCCACTACTATCTTATTGCACAAATATTTGTTTCTAAACTAAAAGGGTAATATAAAATATTCGCTCATGTTGACATAAGGTCTGATTATCAATTACCAAAACTAATAAATTGATATTGCAAATTGTCAAATTTTTGTGATATTTTTAAAGTATTTTCTGCATTAATTCGATATCGTTTATGGGTAACAAAAATCGTCACCCCAACAGGTAACATACACAATAGTAGTTTCTAATGATTTTCATGAGAAATGTTACGCGGCGCCTTCCTGAGATTCCTTGGAAGGGCGACGCAAGGCTAAGCAACTGATGTCAGTGCAGTTACTATCTGCCAACTGAGGTCCCCTCCGTACGCTAGACGAGATTGTCAGTGTCAACGGGAAAACCAATGTCAAGAGCAATTGAGAGAACAGAAATGAGAATTGAGAATGAAAGAAAGCTTGATTGCATTAATGAAAGCTATTACGGAAAAGCAACACGGTGTCGAGGGGAGAGACACCAGTACAGAGAATTGTTTGCTTGCTAGAAAGTTTGATTGCTTGATCCCCCCTAATAGTGCTTAAAAAAAATAAACCCAAGTTACAAGATTAGACTTGACTAAGCTAGAGAAACATAATGGAAGTACATGAAATAAAACTACTCTATATTTACAATGAAAAGGACTTAGTTTTCTACAAAGCAGAAACAGGTCCATTGTCAACAGCATTGTCTTTGGCATCACGATCTGCGCGAGCGGCGCTCTTGGCATCTGCCTGCGGCTGGACGCTGGCGAGGGATATCGGTGGGGCGACAGAGTCACATGCGCGCTTGTTACTTGGCGCGGCCAAGACCACGGGGCCGTCCGTGGCGTTAGGTATTGGGAGGCTTGCTAGGACGCCACGGGGCGCGCCCAAGGGGTCATGGAGCATGGCTGGAAAGCCGCCCATGACATTCTCCCCCACCTGAGTTGGCGACGTCCTCGGCGCCTTACTTGCAAGATGATCTTCAATTAGGCTCTTGTAGGCTTTGAGGTTTGTTCCCCTCTCCCAAGTATTTTACTCTGCATCACAGCCCTGTCATTTCACCAAGAACTCTTAGTGATCTTTCCATGAGGCATGAATCACTCTATCATCAAGGATAGCTTCAACACGCCTTTTTCCGGTTGAATTGGGACCTCGAATACTGGGTATTGTGAGCTGGCTCCGTAAAGGATCCTCCGTGTCTTCACGAAAAGGTTCCAGGAGGCTGACATGGAAGAGGGGATGAATTTTCCACCAAGCTAGGGTATCCACCCGGTATGCAACTTTTCCAATACGCCTTTCAATGGACAAGGGTCCAATGTATTTTTGCAATAGGCGAGGGTCATGGACCCCTACAAATAAGTACCGCTTTGGGATTTTGACAATCACTTTGTCTCCTACATGGTATTCAACAAAGCGATGATTTTGATCAACATGCCTCTTCATCCGCTTTTGAGCTTTGACAAGATAGCTCCTCGCTATCTCCAAATTTTGCTTCCATTCTTTTGAGAAGCAAGCAGCTCGAGGAGATTTAGACATGTTTGGTGCATTCACTGTGTTGGGAGTAGCGGTTGCTATCCGGTAACAACTTCAAAAGCGCTTTTGTTTGTACTAGAGCCCTTTTGTGAATTGAAACACAGTTGAGCAGCATCCAGAAGCTTCACCCAACTTTTCTGCAATCCGGTTACAAAGTGGCGCAGATATTCCTCCAACATACCATTGAACCGCTCCGTCTAGCCATCAGATTGCGGATGAAAACTTGAGCGATGATTCAATTTTGACCCAAGGCACTTAAACAGTTGGGTCAAAAAGTTGCTAGTGAAACGTGAGTCGCGATCACTAACAATATCTTTGGGCAGGCCCCAATATTTGACGACATGAGAGAAGAAGAGTCGAGCTGTATCTTCTGTTGATATATATTGTGGGGCTGCTATAAAGGTGGCATACTTGGAAAACCTATCCACCACAACCAAGATAGTTGTGAGATATCCGACCTTGGGCAATCCGGTGATGAAATCCAGGGAAACGCTCTCCCAAGGTCTCTTTGGGACAGCTAGTGGTTCCAAGAGTCCCGCTTGTGTCAAGCGGTCCGACTTGTCCTTCTGGCATACTAGACAAGTCTTCACATACTGAGCAACGTCATCGGCCATTTGAGGCCAATAATATGCACGGCGAAGTAACGTCATCGTTCATTCTTCACCAGGATGGTCGGCCCACAGAGTACCGTGACATTCCGCCAGAAGAGTTCTTCGCATATCTCCTCCTTTAGGAACATAAAGTCGGTTCCCTTTCACTTTCAGGAAACCATCTTCCATGTAGAACTGGCAAGTCTTGCCCTGTCCTACCAAATCAACCAAATACTGTGCAGCAGGATCCTTGATGAGTAGATTCTGTATCTGGTCCTTGATGGTGGTGGCTACTTCTCTCCCCCCTTAGGGTGGCGAGTAGGCACACCGATGCTAGATCGGCTCTCCGACTGAGAGCATCAGCAACATGATTGGTCTTCCCACTTCGGTACTCCAGGTTGAAGTGGAATTCAGCTAGGAGTTCCTGCCACCTGGCCTGTCGACCATTCAACTTCGGCTGGGTCATGAAATGGCTAGCAGCTGTGTTGTTTGCCCTGACCACGAACGGGGTCCCCAGCAGATAGTGCCTCCAAAGGCGCAAGCAGTAGACGACAGCCAATAATTCTTTCTCATGGGCGGCATAGTGTCCCTCTACATCCTTCAGCTTCCGGCTCTCGTACGCTACAGGATGCCCTTCTTGTAGCAAGACTCTGCCGAGGGCATAGTCGGATGCATCCGTTTGTACCTCGAATGGCTTGGCCAAATCAGGGAGGGCCAAGACGAGGCTACTAGACATAGCCGCTTTTAATGCATTGAAGGCCTCCGCTCGCATCGGTCCCCAATCCCAGGGTATGACCTTCTTGAGGAGTTCTGTCAATGGCACTGCGATGAGGGAGTAGTTTTTCACAAGTCGCCAGTAGAAGTTGCATAGGCCAAGGAACGCCCTCAAGGCATGGATTGCCTGAATCTTCTGTTGGTCCATCTTGATCCGCCCTTCCTCGATGACATGTCCGAGGAAGTCAATTTGCTTTTGAGCAAAGGAGCACTTGGATAGCTTCACATATAGTTCATGCTCCCGCAATCGAGCTAGGACCTTCCGAGTGCACCAAGTGTTCTTCCAATGTTTGGCTATATACCACAATGTCATCCAAGTAGACCACCACGAATTCGTCAATGTACTCTCGGAAGACTTGGTTCATTAGAGTGCAAAATGTAGTTGGGGCGTTAGTCAAGCCGAACGGCATGACCACGAAATCATACGACCCATATCTTGTCACACAGGTCGTCTTGTGTTCATCACCCTCTGCAATCCGAACTTGCCAATAACCTATCTTCAGGTCTATCTTGGTGATCACTGTCGCACCACCCAGTCTATCGAACAAGTCTGCCATTAGCGGAATAGGGTACTTGTTCTTCACGGTGATTTTGTTTAGAGCCCGATAATCCACACAGAGTCGCAGGCTAACATCATGTTTTTTTTGGAATAGAACAGGGGACCCGTATAGGGACTTGGAGGGCACAATGATCCCTGTATCTAGCATTTCCATCAATTTTCTTCGAAGCTCGGTGAGTTTGGGTTGTGACATTCTGTAAGGCGCCCGGGGCGAGTGGCTTCGCACCCGGCACTAACTCAATTTCATGGTCCACAGTGCGCCTAGGCGGGAGTCGCTTTGGCATGTCTTGTGCAGGGGTGTGCATTCGATTTATCGATTCGATTTTGACCCTTATCGATAATTACTTATCAATTATCGATTTGTACATATGCTTATCGTTATCGTTTCAATAAGGTTTCGATTTTTTCGATTTCGATTTATCGATTTTTGGGGCTTATCGATTCGGTTATCGATTACACCAATAAGAAAATTTGCGAGATTCCACGGAAAGTATATCGCTATAAACACGTCTAACTAATATGGACAAAAAGAAGCTAAAATAAGACGAACACCGTTTATAACATAAAAGTTGTGTCAACAAGCACATGTAATGAAACTAAAGTAAGGGATCAAATGTATGCCAGCAACACTCCAACGGTATTTAAAAAAAAACAAAACAAAATACATCATCACGGCTAATTTTGTTTTCCATTAATTTGAACTTCATTCCCTTGAGCTTTAAATATGATCATTCCTTAAATGTGGTAGAGGAAATAATAGGGTTAGGGACTTAGGGTAAAGGAAAGGGTATTATAGAATAAGGGTAAAAAAAAACTGTCTTCTTAGTATATCTTATCGGTTTACCGATAAACCGATAACCGAAGAGGACAAAATCAAAATCGAAATCGATAACTCGATAAGGAAAATTTTGAAATCGAAATCAAAATCGATAAATCGATAAACCGATAACAAATAATCGATTCGATTTATCGATAAACCGATTCGAATGCACACCCCTAGTCTTGTGGCATGACATCTTCAAACTCCAGCAGTAGCTCCTTCACGGGTGCAGGAATAGGACCCGAGGAGTGTTCTATATCTTCAATGCAGAGGGTCTCCAGGAATGTAGGTTCATGTCTTTTGACCCCCTCCTTCAACTGCAAGGCCGAGATGTTCTCAACGGCCATCTTCATGGGCATGCACGGGATAATGCAGGGCTTGGCCCCATTTGTTCCCATCATCAGTAGCATGTCTGCATATGGTACGGGCATGGTGTTGGTTTGCCTTAGGAATTCCAACCCAACTATCAACTCGAAGTCATCTATGATCACCACTCGCAGGTTGAATTTTCCTTCGTAAGGGCCAAGCTTCACCGCTACCTTTTTGGCTATTCAACCCACTGGCTAAGGAGGTGAGTTGATAGCCTTAACACGACCTCTACCTTTTCCTACAACTAGACCAAGGCTCTCCACCTGAGTCGAGGCTAAGTAGTTGTGGGTAGCAC